AAAAAAAAATCTACTAGACCAGGCAGATTACTCATAGCCATTTAAAATTATAATACCCACACAGGGTAGGGCTTTGGCTCAACAGTACAGCCTTTTTGCCCAGCAAGTATGTCATTCCAGGTTCCATCCTCAGCACCACAAAAAACCCCAAAATCAAACCAAACAAACAAACAAAAACACCCAAACCCTCTAAGGTCAGTTCAATTACTTAGGAAAAAAAAAATCCCACTATGCAGCTAAGTAAAAAAGATAAATGAAAACACTATTTTTCAAAAAATGTATTTGGTACAGGGTCTCACTACGCAGCGGGCTTCTGTAGTGATCCTCCTGTTTCAGGCTCCCCAGCGCTGGGATTACAGGCTGGTCTCTGCGGCAGGCTCAGTGCACCTGGGCCTTGCACTTACTTGCCTACCCAGGTGTTTAGTCTGCTGAGCTATCTCATCGGCCCAAAACCACTAATCTTAAAATTGTTATAAGAAACAGAAGATAATATATCAAAAGGAAAAATACAACTTTATTAAGAATTATGAGTGTTTTATTATTTTGACTTTATTCTTTTGAGATAGGAACTCATTATACATTCCAGCTTGGACTTGAACTCACAGCTATTCTCCTGCCTCGTACTCCTGAGTGCTGGAATTGAGGACGTGTACCACTGGCTACATTTTGAGTTTTGATCCTCTTCTGGGCTAGTAATAGGTTATTTGATCCACTCTTTTTTGTTTGTTTGTTTTTGCGGAACCAGGGATTGAACTCAGGCCCTCGCACTTGCCAGCCAAGTGCTTATTCTACTGAGCCATTTCTCTGGCCCCTTGATCCACTCTTGAAATGGATCAAATGATCAGCTCCCCTGGCAGCCCCATGATCAGAAAATGAAGCAACCCATATCCTACAGTGCTATACTATAATGTCTGGAAGGTTAAGTGGAATAAATCCACTTCCAACCTGTAACAGTTTCAATTTCTGATGGGTTTCTCAGGACATTACCCCATCTTAAGGAACTCCTGTACTGCCTGAGTGTGCAGAGCCCTAGCACAGGATTTGTACAACAGCCTCACGTGGGACAACCATAGAACCAACCACCTCCCTAGGCCTGATGGTGGGCCTTCCACTCTGACCTTAGCTAAGTGGTGCTGGGAGCGGCCCCACAGGGCAGCCTCCACAGCCCAGTGCCCAGCCTGCCCAAGGATGGCAAGCTGCCAGACATTCCCATTGCCCCCACTGCACCCATCTTCCTGGAGCTGGCACCTAGCATGGGCACTGCCATCTTCACACTATGGGTAAATACTAAGGCAGGATGCTGGCAGGTCAGGATCTGCTACATCAGTGTGGGCCTATTTTGAGATGACTGCAGGGACATCCCTGGTCGACAGAGCTACCCACAGGAGACTATTTGCAGGCAATTCACTTTTTTCCAAAGACTCACCATTCTAGATTATTTTCCCCTTCTGGGATATAATAATGCTCATGTGGAAATAAGAATTCTAATTAGTTTTATTATTATTATTATTATTATTATAAACATTAACAGTAATAGAAGAGATTCCTGACTCAAACCAGGCAGGAGCCCATCCCAGGACCCAACAGTTGATCCGCCTTCTTATCTGCAGGTAAGATGGTCCATCAATGATCTCCAGACCCATCAAGGATGATGAGATGTCCTCAAATGGACTCAAATCCCTTCTCCTAAAATGTGTTTTATCCTGGGGAACTGTCACACTAGGCATCCTGGCTGGGAGAGCTGAGCAAGGTCATGTGCAAGAATCTGGCATCTGGAGGAACAGGTGTTCTGGTTCTGGGCACCCAGGAGAGGTTCCAGTGCCTCATTTGATGGGTAGCTCAGGAAGTGCTTTCTTCTATGAAGAAACAGTACCACATCTTAATTGTCAGGTTTGGTCCCCAGAGGGAAATTCCTGCTAGGTGGGGGCTGTACCACACACAAGAGCTTTGCCACATCTAATGCATTTATTGGGTCTATGTCACCTACCCCTGAGTCCCCTGTACCCAACAGACTGCCAGGCATGTAGTAGGTGCCCAGCAAGTGTCTGTTGAACTGAATGGCAAAGGGCTTCTCATCACCATGCAGCAGTCTCTGGTGTTCCAGGAGATGTGAGCTCCAGCCGAACACTTCCCCACATTTGTTACACTTCAAGGATTTCTCCCCAGAATGAACCTTCTGGTGTTTAATAAGACAGTGGTTCTGGCTGAAGGCTTTGCCACATTCATGACATTTATAGGGCTTCTCCCCAGTATGGATGCGCTGGTGCACAATGAGGGATGAGTGGCAGCTGAAGGCCTTCCAGCACTTGCTGCAGTCGAAGGGCTTCTCCCCAGTATGGATGCGCTGGTGCACGATGAGGTAGGAGTGCGAGCTGAAGGCTTTCCCACACTCGTTGCACTTGAAGGGCTTCTCACCACTGTGGATACGCTGGTGCACGATGAGGTATGAATGGCAGCTGAAGCCTTTCCCACAGTCTGTGCACTTGAAGGGTTTCTCACCGGTGTGGATCCTCTGGTGCAGAGTGAGGCGTGAGCGGTTGTTGAAGGCCTTCTCGCACTCAGTGCATTTGAAAGGCTTGTCCCCATTGTGGATCTTCTCATGCACAGTGAGGGATGAGTGGCAGGTGAAGGCCTTGCCACATGCATCGCATTTGTAGGGCTTCTCACCAGTGTGGATGCGGTGGTGGCGGGTGAGGTGTGTGCGCTGGTTGAAGGCCTTGCCACACTCACTGCACTTGTAGGGCTTCTCACCCGTGTGTACCCGCAGGTGCATGTTGAGCAGCGAGCTGCAGCTGAAGGCCTTCTCACAGGCACTGCATTTGTAGGGTCGCTCACCTGTGTGGATGCGCTGGTGCACGTTGAGGGATGAGTGACAGCTGAACGCCTTCCCGCACTCACTACAGAAGAAGGGCTTCTCACCTGTGTGGATGCGCTGGTGCACGTTGAGGGATGAGTGACAGCTGAACGCCTTCCCGCACTCACTACAGAAGAAGGGCTTCTCACCTGTGTGGATGCGCTGGTGCTCGATGAGGTTGGTGCTCCAAGTGAAGGCCTTGCCGCATTCGCTGCACTTGTAGGACTTGGCACGGCTGTGCCAGCGCTGGTGTAGGGCTAAGGACGCTCTCTGTGGGAATGTTTTCCCACACTCACCGCATACGAAGACACCCACCCCAGTGCCTACCCCGTGCAGCCTGGACTTGAAGGACCTGTCTCTCGGACACGTTCTCTGCTGGTCTCTGGTGACTGCCCCAGTGGGCTGGATGTCCATGGTATGCCTGGCAGGAGAGTGTCCTCCCAAAGGGGCACTCCACTGGGCGAGCAGAGAGCACTTGACAGGGGAGCCCTCGGCGGAGTCATTGTGTCCCCAATATCTCTGCTCTGTGGAGATGTCCCCAAGGGCAGCAGGCACTTGCTCCCATTGCACAGCCTGGTTTCTCCACACTACTGTTGGGGCCTCCCATGCTGTACCCAGGTGGGCACTGTGAGCACTGGGCCTCTTCAGCGGCCCTGTGACTGCCTCCCAGGGTAGATCTCGTCTGCAACACCCCTGCAGTAGAGACTGCTCCTTCACCTCAGGCACAGGCTCCCGCTCTGTAACAGATTGAAAACAGAATTAACTGAGAGCAGGCAGAGGCAGGGCCCCGGAGTGCACACTAGACAGCTGACCAGGAGGAGGAGACAAGCTCAGGGAAAAGTGGGTAACAACAGGGCCAAAGAGCTGAACACATGAAGGCAGAGGAACAAGAGGGTGCCCATGTGAGGTGCTAGATGGAAAAAGGAGAGGAAGAGAAAAGAAGGACCCACGAGAGGGCACAAAGACACAGCCAAGGGAATCCCAAAAAGAGTAGCTTTAAGTAGGTAGTAATGGGACCGAGAAATGGACACAGCTCACGGAGTCCGGGAGTCAGGATGTGACTCAGTCACTGAAATGTGCACTGCTTGACTACTATGAGGCCATACCATGGCAGGTGCAGGGTAAACACAGGCTCAAGGGATGAGTAAAGATTTCCTAAACTGCTTCACTCAAGCATTTTCCTCAGAATGTCTGGAGTTGTAAATACTTGCCCAGTGTACAATGGTGCGCACCTATCATCCCAGCATTCAGGATGCTAAGGCAGCAGAACTGTTTGAGTTAAGGAGTTTGAGAGCAGCCTGGGCAACACAGCGACATCTGAGGCCTAGATTAGCGGGATCTTTTTTTTTGGGGGGGTGTGGAACCAGGGATTGAAATCAGGCCCTTGTGCTTGCCAGGCAAGTGCTTATTCTACTGAGCTATCTCCCTGGCCCTTGAGGCCTAGATCAATATAAAGGAGTCATGACAACAAAGGGAGACTGATGAAATAACAGGGCACATCATATAACAAGATACTATGTAATCAGTAAAAACCACATGATAGACTAGGAGTGGTGGGGCACGGCTGTAATCCCAGCACTGGGTAGGCTGGGACAGGAGGATCACTGTAAGTCTGAGCTGCGTAGCGAAACCCTGTAACAAATAAGTAAAGTACTCACATACTGTCATTCCTTAATATTCTCAGGGGACTAGTTTGAGGACCTCTCTCAGACACCAACAATCTATGGATGCTCAAGGCCCTTTTAAAAAATTGTGTGTGGGGGCCGGGGAGATGGCTCAGTAGAGTAAGTGCTTCCCTGGCAAGTGCAAGGGCCTGAGTTCAAACTCTGGTTCCGCCAAAAAAAAAAAAAAAGAAAGAAAGAATATACCTTAAATACAAAAGATGGCTAAAAAATATGTGTGTGTGTGTGTGTGTGTGTGTGTGTGTGTGTGTGTGTGTCTCCCAGTGCTGGGGATGGAACCCAGGGCTTTATGCATACTAGGCAAGTGCTGACCACTGAACTATAACTCTAGCTCCCAAATAATGTAATATTTGTTATAATTTACCTAGATCTTTAAATCATCTCTAGATTATTCCTAATACCTGACACAAAGTAACTGCTATGTCAGTAGCTATTATAGCACAGTAGTAAGAGTATAATGACAATAAAGTCTACACACTTGAAGACACTTAATATTTTTCTAAATATTTCTGATCTGAAATTGGTTGAGTTTGCAAATGTACCAGCTGCAGATGAAAAGGACCACTCCACAGTGGAAAAACTAGGATAGTGTGATGAAATGGCAGTCCATCCTGGGCAGAAAGATTACAGGGGGATTTCAAACTTCTCTGTATTACCCTTAATTTATAGGATATGCCTCAATTAATTGAACAAAAACAGTTTTTTGTTTGTTTTTGCAGTTCTAGGGATGGAATCTAGGCTACTGCACCACTGAGCCATACTCTCAGACCAAAAAATTTTTTTATCAGGAATCAAACTCAAGACCTTGCACTTGCTAGGCAGGCGCTGTGCTGCTGAGCTCTCCAGCCCACTTTTTACAAAACAAATGTAGATTGTTTTATTTATTTATTTATTTATTTATTTATTTATTTATTTATTGTGGTACTGGGGACTGAACTCAGAACCTTACACTTGCCAGGCAAGTGCTTATTCTACTGAGCCATCTCCCTGGCCCAATTTTTATTTTTTGAGATCGGGTTTTGCTGTATAGTCCAGACTGGCCTTAAATTCAAAGTGATCCTGCTGTCTCAGTTTCCCAAATGCTGAGATTATAGGTGTGCACCGCCACGGTCCAGTCTAATTTTGATCGAAGAGGAAGAGGGCAACCAAACCTGGGATAAGTAACAAAGTCCAAGAAGTTGGGAGCTATGGCCACTCTTGCGCCATTGTGATTTGGGGCCTTTGGGGTGGGGAAGAGGAAGAGGTGGAGCTGAGGAGCACACAGACCTTCCTCGCCTCTGCACTCATCCACCTGGCCCTGGCATACACGGCTCTGTATTGACTACTCCTTGCTCTCTTTCTCACTAAGATTTCTGTTTCTCAAGCTTTTCAGATGTCTAATGCACTGAGCATTCACTGTCCACTAAAGTAGGTTGCAATTAGTTCACTCATACATTAAGCAACTCAGAAAGCAAGTTTCTTGTCTTCTTGTTGTTTTTTTTGTTTTGTTTTGTTTTGTTTTTTTTATACTGGGAATTGAATTTAGTACCTCATGATTGCCAGGCAGAAGCTTCCAAAAGTGAAATGTGGGGGCTGGGGAGATGGCTCAGTGGAATAAGCACTTCCCTGGCAAGCGCAAGGGCCTGAGCCTGGTTCCACCAAAAAAAAAAAAAAAAAAAAAAAAAAAAAAGTGAAAAGTGAAATGTGGGCCAGGGATATAGCTCAGCCACGTAAGTACCTGCCTGGCAAGTGCAAGGTCTCAAATTCGATCCCTGGTACTGCAAATCAATCAAGCAATCAATCAAACAGTGAAATGTTTGAGAAGAAAAGTCATACCAGCCTCCTCTCCTACTCAGAGCTTTTCCACAATCCCCTTTCAGTCAAAGAGGGCCAGTGTCCCTGCTGTGGCCTTGTTGACTGAGTCCTTCCCCTGCCTGGTGCCATCTCCTCATCTGCTCACTTCTCCCTGCCACTTCTTCCAAGAGATCAAAGCTCCTACTCCAAGTCTACATGTACACTCTCCAGCCCTCTAACAGATGCCACCTGTCTACCTAACACAGATACATTCTGCTTCCCACCCTCATCAGAAGGTAAGTGTTTTGGTTGGTTTTGATTACTGCTATATTCATAGCACAAAGGCTATACTTTCAGGGATCATTTCTATAGTATGTATTCACAGCACACTTCCTGGCACACAGGTGCCCAATACATGCACAAGGAAGAAAGGAGGAGGGGGTGGATCTAACAAGGACACAGGGAAGGCCCAGATCAAGCCAAGACAGTGGCACTGAGGAAGGGAACAGGGGCTGAGATGCACAGGATAGATGAGCGGGGCAGTTGGGGGAGGGTGCTGGGGTGCCACTGGGCCAAAGGACCAGCCCCTTCTACCTGTGTCAACTGCTCACCTGAACAAGACCCTCCAGAGCCTTCCCTGTACACTCGCCATGGCTCCTCTCCTCGTTCCAGATGGGAGATTACATCTGGCTTGCAGACCGGAGGTCCTGCTCATGGGGAGAAAGCATTGAGGCTGGTTGCGCTGTGACTCACTGGCCTAGCTGTCTTCCTGGGACAACCCATGAATAACGACAAGCTATTACAAAGGGTGCACCACTGACAGGGAACAGGGGGCTCTCAGAAACCAAACCCAAGTGGTAGCAAATGCTTTAAAGACCCCATATGATACCTTCCTTTGCTGCTTGATGGAAACTTCATGGCAGATGGGCTTTAAGTTTGTCTTCTTCCCTCCAGCAGCCCTCCCTCTCTGTGCTCCCCATTCTAGGACCAGTCACAACTCCAAGTAAGTTTGCCACTAGCCACCACACAGGATCTTGAGGACTTTAGGTGTGGCCGGGCCCCCTGGCCCAGGTGTCCTGAAGCAGAGGCCCTATTTTCCTACTCATGCCATGTCTGCCACCCTACCCAAGGCAACAAGGTTCTGGTAGTTCTCCAGCATCACATCCCGGTACAAGGCCCTCTGAGGGGAGTCCAGTTGACCCCACTCTTCCTGGGTGAAATCCACAGCCACATCCTTGAATGTCACCAATTCCTGAAATGACACACACACGACAGGAGTGATTTTTTTTGTTTTTTTTTTTTT